TGGATCACAACAAATTGTGGCAGGTTCTTAAAGAGCTTGGAGTACCAGATCATCCTATTTGTTGCTTGAGAAACCTGCATGTGGGTCAAGATGCAACAGTGAGAACTGGACATGGAACTACTGATTGGTTCAATACTGGGAGAGGAGTACGGCAAGGCTTTATATTGTCACCCTGCCTATTTAACCTATATGCAGAGCAAATCATGCAAAAGGCCAGGCTAGATGAATCTCAAGTCAAAATTAAGATTGCCAGGAGAAATATCAACAACCTCAGATATACAGATGATACCACTCTAATGGCAGAAAGTGAAGAGGAACTGAAGAGCCTCTTGATGCAGGTGAAAGAGGAGAGTGCAAAATTTGGCTTGAAACTCAACATTAAGAAAACTAAGATCATGGCATGTGGTCCTGTCACTTCCTGGCAAATAGATGGGGAAGAAATGGAGGTAGTGACAGATTTTATTTTCCTCGTCTCCAAGATCACAGCAGACGGGAGCTGCAGCCAAGAAAATCAAAGACACTTGCTCCTTGGGAGGAAAGCTATGGCAAATCTAGACAGCATACTAAAACACAGAGACATCACCCTGCTGACAAAAGTTCGTGTAGTCATGTCTATGGTTTTCCTAGTTGCAGTGTATGGCTGTGAAAGTTGGATCATAAGGAAGGCTGAGCACCAAACATTGAGGTCTTTGAATTGTGGTGCTGGAGAAGACTCCTCTGAGTCCCCCTGGACCGCAAGGAGATCAAACCAGTCAGTCTTAGAGGAGATCAACCCTGACTGCTGTTTAGAAGGCCAAATACTGAAGATGAAACTCAAATACTTTGACCACCTAATGAGAAGGAAGGACTCACTGGAAAAGACCCCAGTGCTGGGAACAATTGAAGACAAAAGGAGAAGGGGACGGCAGAGGATGAGGTGGCTAGATGGGGTCACTGGGTCAGTGGGTGTTGGCTTGGGTGGACTCTGGGGGATGGTGGAGGACAGGAGAGCCTGAAGGACTGCTGTGCATGTGGTCATGATTGGTCGGGCATGACTTTGCGACCAAACAAACAAACCACATTCCCTCTCACAATTTTCCCCTAACCAAAAAGCAAAGCAAATAATATGTAATGTAAATATGGAGGAATCACCTTTTGGAAGTTAAATTATTTCCTTGTAATAATTGTTATTTATGCAATTGTATTATTTATGCAGTGTCTGCCAAGTATATATTATCAGTTTATGCAATGCAGTATCATGGTGGCATAAGCTTTCTCCAAATCGAATCAGTCATATGGAGTCACTCCTGATTGTTCCATATGGATTTACAATCTGTTTGGAATTAACTCAGAATAGAGACTTAGTGTTTTGTTTCCCCATCTGTGGAACTCCTAGCCCATGGGTCCTCAAACTACGGCCGGCCTGCAGGATTGATCCGGCCTGCCATCAAGCCCACACCATCGTTCACCCCCCCGCGGGGAGGTGCTGGCTTGCTCACTCGGAGATGGAATCTGCGCGAGCAGGCCGCCGCCGCCGCTCCGCCACCACTGCCTGCCTCCTGTGCATGCGCTCGGAGATGGTCTCCGAGTGAGTGAGCCGCCGCCACCTGCCTCCCGTATGTGCGCGCTCGCTGCTGCCTTGCAGTGTGGGCGGAGAGGTGTGGCTTGCTTGCTCGGAGATGGTTTTGGACTCGCTGGGAGATCTCTGAGTGAGCCACTCCAACAAGCACCTCACTGCCCGCTCCCCCAGGCACCAGTAACCGCAACCTTTCAACTGGCCCCTATTCAAAAAGTTTGAGGACCCCTGTCATAGCCTGTTAACATCAAATAGGTACCAACACTTTTATTTTCAGCACTTGCTGAAGCCATTTTTAATTAAACAAACCTTTTCTGAGTAACCAGGCATAGATCTATTAGCACAACCCAATCTTAAAGGTTCAAATTGTGTCTTTTGATTACTATTTTTCTTGCCTTTTTATTTTTTGCTACTCTTATTTTATACAATGTAGTATAAAAGTCTACTAAATAATATAAATAATATAAAATAATATAAAATAAATATATTTTATATAAAATAATATAAAAGTCTACTAAATAACTATAAGTCTACTAAATAATTAAATGATTCTTCAATTAAATTATTTCATTTAAACAATTAAAAAGTTCTATTAGCATTTCTTAATATAGGCCATTGCCAATGTTCAGCTGTAATCTCTGTGGTTACTTCCAGAGTATTATTGCCATTTTCAGACAGCTTCTGTACCTGATTCTTTATCTGCAGAGTTTAACAAATGAAGCTTTTTAGAGAGGCAAACTGCTAGTTGTTGCAGTCCAAAAGCACAGCTATAGAGGCCAACTGAAAATTAGTTAACATATTTGGATACCAAATTCTGTCTGGGTAGCTTGGGGCAAAAAGTTTAGGATGTAAAGCTATGCATACTTCCTTGAGGATAAGTTCTGTTGAACTGAGTGCAGCTGTTGACTCTTGAATTGTTGTTTTGCATTAGCAGATAACAACCTGGCTCAAGCTACAGCAAGGAGCAAAGGCGCAATATAATAAACATATGATAGCTGATTTGTACAAAACAAACTCTTAGAATTTTCACTAATTCAGAGGGCTGTTTTTTAAAAAGATACTATTCATCCAGAGGTTTATCCACTTGCATTTGATATCTAGAGTTGTTGCATCTAAAGGAATGATGTTGCACCAATGAGGAATGATGGGAGTTGTACTTTAAAACCCCTGCAGGGCACAAGGTAGCTCATTCCAAAAAGATTATAAAATGGAACTTGGAGCTTTCTTTCTTAATTAGTTTTAAAGCCCAATCCTATGTCTGTTTAGGAAAAAAAAGTCCTGCAGTTCTGTCAGAATCCTGGAATCTCAATTTGAGAAGAGGAAATAAAACTCGGGTTTGTGGGAAAGATCAAGCATCCAGACCATCTTGGCTTTATTGCATTACCCGGGTTCCCGTGGTAGACTCTCACGATAATGCATGCATTACTGGTCAGGCAGAGGTGAACTCTGCTGCAAAGCTTCAATACCATTACAGAGCATTTATAGGTACACAGGTATAGGGCAATTGATGACAGAATGCAGACATTACAATAAGTTTCTGAGGTCATCACATACAGAACAGATAAAGGAATTGTCAATCATACAGAGACAATGAGATTACAATATTTCTAATTGCAGTGTATTGACACTTTAGTTGAGTAACTTGAACCCATCTCCAGGTCTGCTTAGATGTGTAAATTCAAGCTACTGAGAAACTATGCATGAACTCATAAGCTTATCTAGACATTCTGAATGACCAGGGCACATGAAGCCCTCTGGGCTAGGAAGATACTTCCTGGTAAACTGTGAATTCCAACAATGATTATTTACAATGTATATTTGGACTAAATGGCCTGTCTATTGTAGCTTACAGCTAAAGTGAGAGAAAGGGGGGGGGATGAATGGCATTTTAAACAGTGACTTATCTTGGTTTGAGAAGGCAGTACAGGATTTGATCCCACAAAGCAAAAGCACACAGAAGTAATGCTTTTCAGACAGGATTTATCCAAATTTTCCCAACAGTTCCCAGCAGTCCTAGCTAGGGTCTTTTGTGAGTTGAGAACTTTTTTCCTGTCTAAACACAAAGAGGATTCCATTCTCAACTGAAGACAGACAAGTGATACTGAATACAGAATTTCTTTGTAGATGTTTGTGCTTGCTAAGGAAAAACTGTTTCCTCTTTCCCTTTCATTGTTCTCTTGGCATTCTGACTGAAATGGGTTGAAACATTTGCTGGGACTTGTCCATAGCTGTGTGCCTGCTACATCTGTCTGTTCATATATATAGAGAGGCCTAAGGGGGGCTGTGTTGAGAGTTGATGTGATCTCACTCAGCAATGGTGTGTCTGCATGGGTAGAAGTGGAATGCATTCACTGGCTAAGAGGTGAGGAGCTTCCCACAAAAGCACATCTCAGGATGACAGAATGCTTGCCCAAGTTGGTAGCTTCATATCTAGTTCAGCCTATGGAGCTAACTAGCATATTGGGCAGGTAGAATTACAAGCAGGAATCAGTTATGGTTGAGTGGTGAACATGAGCAGGAAAGTAGAAGCTGTGCTTGTCCTCAGAAGGTTGCAATCTATCAGAAACTTTGAAATTACATATTAAGCAGTAGTGGTAAGGAAAAATGTAGCTACAGAAAAATGCAATTTCTGATCATTTACATAAAATATTTTCTGCCTATGTATTGCTGAGACACAGCTTATTTTCGGGTAATTTCTAGAGGTCCACCTTCAACTCAGCACCTGCTCCTTTAAATTTCCATCGTTTTCCTTACATGCACGGTCCCCCTTGCTATCCATTGCAAAACTATGAAGTTTGTTTAGGATTTAAAAATAATCAGATGTGTTTAATGTCCAAAATGATAGGTCGAGAGCAATCTTATGGAAGCCAAGAGATTAAGACTTCTGAATAAATACGATTACACCAGTCCATCTTCACTCTCTAATAGTTCTCATTAGGCGCCAGTAGGGGGACACACTTTTCAGTGCTATGCTTCTTGCCCTTAAAAATAGCGAAGAATAAATTTGTATAATTGAAAAAGAAATTTCTTGGTTCCAATTATTAAAAAAAGTTTTGGTAATACCATAACAACTGAAATTGTCAGTTTTACCTCTAGATGCTTATTGTATAAATTTTAAAAAATCCCCTCCCCATCGTTTGCAATATTCTGAAATAGCGCATACATCTTCCACTCTATTTTAAAAATCACACATTTCTCAGTTATACCTACATTCCAGTCGATTTCGTCCAGTCCTACGGGGAGGTGGGCGGAGAAAGGCGGAGCATAATTTACCCTACCATCTCTGGAACACGTAGTGCAATAAAGTTGCAGCGTTCACAAGAGGAGTACGGCGAACAATTTCATGACTACAAATCCCAACAACCATTGCTTCCGAAGGGGTGGAGTTTATTTGCTGTTGTCTACGCCTTTTTTTTTTTGCCTAATGATGTACTGAAGCTGCGAAGAGGCTGAGTAATCGAGAACAGCAGTTTGCATTTGCAAAGAGATTCACTGTCTCTTTCTTAAAGGCGCAGGCGGAACCGTGGGATTGCAAGAGAGGAATATTGCAATCTTTTATTTTTGCTTGGTTGAGGAGAGATAGGTAACATGTGAAACATTCAGTTGAACATTTAAAAAAACGCCATTTTGCGAGCTTATTTTCCTTCATAAGAATTTTCTTCCACTTTTGTATCTCTCCAAAGAAGTGGTGAGTTGAAATGTCTTTTTCCTTTTAATACTACGGTCGCTGTTTAAATCAGGGTGTGTGCACTTGTGAATAGTCGATCTGAGGAAGAGACAAAAAATGGGCAGCGTTTTTATTCTGTTTTATTTTTGTCTCTCTTCTTGTTTCGCAGTATCAGTCGGCAGAAATTTGGGGAGAGGTTTCTAGGGAGCCAAATCAGTGTTTTGGGAGATTTGGTAGTGCGGTGCTTTGATAGATGGCAAGTTTAGTGTTCGCTCTACCAGCGCCGGAGGAAGTTTTCTGTCGATTCCTATGGATATAGAAGGAAGCGCTCTCGTGACAGGGTATTTGGGGAGACTTGTTCACGTGCAAAACCGAAAAGTACACCTCATAGTTCTTACTCAAACTTCGTATTAGTCCACCTTTTCCTTGCCCTTTCAGAGACATTTCTCCCATTTTTGAAAGGAAGCCCCAGGAAGTGGCAAACCCCCATTCATTTCTCCTCTCCACCCACCCTCCTGTAGGGAACATTCCTTTTTGGTCTCCTGTAGCGAGAGAGGGGATGGGGAAGTAAAAAGTGTTGCTAGATCAACCTTGGCGGACATCAGGCACACTATGGAGCTTATTCCTGTGACTAGAATGACCTGAAATGTGTGCTTTCTGTTGCCATATGGAGCTATGTATTGGAATAAGAAATTGGAGTGGAAGAAAATATTTGTTGTTCTCTAATAAGAACGAGCGTGATGGAGGCTGCCTTTGCTTTGAAGGTTTTAGTTGAGCGTTGTGGTTTTTTTACTATAATTCCTTTCCTAGCTAGATTGCCATGGCTTCCAAGCTTCTGCGAGCTGTTGTCTTAGGTCCCCCAGGCTCTGGCAAAGGAACTGTGTGTGAGAGGATCGCCAAGAACTTCGGCCTCCAGCATCTTTCCAGTGGGCAGTTCTTGAGGGAGAACATCAGAGCAAACAGTGGTAAGTGGGCAAGGCAGAAGAAAGAATGGCTCTGAACTAGTACGTGCGAGATTGCATGCAGAGACCATGATTGGAACAGATCGGTTCCAGCAGATTGCATGGCTTTGTGCAAAAGAGTATCTATACGTTTGTAGCACTTTTAGGAAAGAAAAGGATTGGTGCATTGTTGTCTGTGGGCTGGTAAGGTAAGTAGCAATGGGTTGTATTTGCTATCTTACTCAATTTGAAACTGCACCCCTCCACTGTACGCTGTTTGACTTAATGATGGCATTGATTTATGCAGGATTACTAAAGGGTCTAGCATGGAAACTTGAGTTCCGCATGGAAGATTCCAGCAAAAATTGCATTAGCAGTAGTAGGCAAATTTAAGGACCTGCTACATGCTATAGCAATTGCAAGGGTTGATATAGCAATTCAGTATTTAATGTTGCAATCCTGCATCCTTTTATCCTGGAGCAAGCCTCTTTGAGTTCAGTCAGGCTTATTTCTGAGTAGACACGTGTTAAAAAAAAAAAGTAGGCACTTAAAAAAAGGAGGCAATGTTGTGAAACACCCTGTGAGCTGCATAGTTAGTTTTATCTTTAAAAGTGAGTTTAGAAGGAGAGAACGGTACCTTTTCCAAGTTGGGTGAAACATAGTTGTATAGCGTTGTCATACTTCTGAGAATGTTTGCATACTTGTGCCTCAAATGTACGAAGCTGCTATTTGTGTATGGTCTTTCTCCTCATCTTCTGTTGAAAAAGCTTTGGAATTTATGAGCCTTATCAAGTTATCCATAACATGCTATCCAAATGGCTCATGGTGAGTTGTTTTCAGAACTACCATGCAAATTAAAGGGATGCTATGGTTTTTTTGGTAAAGCTATGCCTTGTATCCATGATAGCAGCCTACACTGGAATAAGCCTTTTATAACAATAGGCTTTGTTAAGCTGCAATACAGTCTTAAAGGCCTTGGTTCCCAACCCCTTACATCTTTATGTGCATACAGTGTTTTGTCTCAAAACTGGCATCTGTTGACGTTGGCTTCTTTGTTCATGTGATCATTATCCTAGGCATCATCCATTGTTGCCATTTTATCAGATGTTATTGTGTTAAGCATGTGAAGATGATCCTTGTACAGAAGGACATAGTGTTTGTAAAGTGTTCCTATAATTAGCATTGCACCACAGCCTAAAATGTGAAATTGTAATAATATATTTTGGACACAATTCTTATTCTTTTAGGAAGGGTCCTAGCTTGCAAAGAAGACTATAATTTCTAATGCTGAAGAAGGTTTGCACAATTTCTTAATCTGATTGTAATTGAACATGAGAGATTATTATAACTATTGTGTTTGCATCACAACTTCAGAAAGGATAAGATCAAGTTGCCCACTTGATTTCTTGCACATTTGTGAAAAATTTGAACCAATAACTTAAAAGATCCAAATTACCTCATTCTACATATATGTAGTTGTTATTCCGGGCAAGGGCTCCTGGACTGAAACTTAAGGCAGCAATTGGTGTATTTTCCCCCTTTTGTATGGCATTTAATACAAGCATTATAAATAATGGCTTTAGTATAAACGGGACAAAGAATTTACAGAAGATAGAGTTGTGGATCATTAGTATGCTATAAATGTTTTGCCCTGGATAAAACTGTTTCATTGAATATAGGTGCAATGGAATTTTAGAACCTGTATATTGTAAAGCTGGGATATGTAAGGAGTTGAATCCTATATAATTGAATCTTATGTTAGTTGGATTTTGGGTTTTAGATATTGTTTTATTACACCTATGTTATGTAGGTTGGGTCTGTTTTCTTGTGAGCTCTGGGGTGGCATACAAATACAAATCAATCAATAAAGAAAGATTTTCTCGGGGAGGGGAGAACAGGTGATAAGGTAAATGCCTGAAATCATTGGATGTAATTATACAGCTTTTGGCAAACATGTAATCCATACACTGTGCCTGTACACTGTACATACATGTACACATATACATCTGCTTATACTCACAGGAAAGTAAGTAACCATTTGCAATTTGTGTAACTCGGGTGCAGAAATGATTTGGAATAAGGGACCAGCTTACCCCATCAAACAACCTGCAGGCTGGATGACATCAAGGGTTGTGGCCCTATCCCCTGACATGACCCTGTCTTTCTTTTTCTTTTCTTTCAGTGATGGGAGGAGGCCTAAAGCATGGAGGAAAGCTAGCTGCTCCCCACTCCTGCTGCTATTTCTGACCCAAGACAGCAGCAAGTATGTGGGGTGCCCTGGGTGTTGTGACCTGACTGCACAGGAAAGAACAGCCATTCTCTCTGGTGCATGTCAGCCCCAACCCCTGCTGTGTCCCACCTACTCAGATTGGAGCTGGCAGCGGGCTTGATTTCTCCTTATTTCAAAATATGTGATATAAAATAAAAGCAATACATGCAGTGGAGGCTAGTGGCTCCAATGGCAGAAGGGCTGTATACCCACTCCAGAGTATAGTCAGAATATTAAGGAACCATCCAATGTGTTCAACCTGTTTTTAAAGTTCAGACTAAATTCCAAAGAGAGCATAAGCTCCCTCTCTAACCCTGGAACCTCTAGCTTCCATTTATTCAGTTAGAGATTGAATTACCTATTTTCATTGAACACCTTCTTGGCTTTATAGTTAAGACATCTTACAGGAAGAAATGGCATACTACTGAGATAAGGGGATATGATACCTCATTTTGACTGGAGGGGATTGCAGTGCCACAACTCCTCCCTCCATTAGGAATCATTTGGTGGATTCTAGCTTTTGTGCAGGTTTTCCCCGGTCCTGAAAGGCTGAGAGCAGTTAGATCTTTACACTACAATGTGCTAGGTTTTTTAAAACTCCTTTTTCCTTAGGGCATACCTGCTACTGAAGAACAACCCCTGAGAACTTCTCCAAAATGGAATTAGGCCTGTGGACTGCATGTTGCCTTACCCTTGATATAGGTCAATATATTACGATAGGAGACTGTGAAGAAAAAAATGTAGTATATGATGGACGAATACTGACTATATGATGGATAAATTGGATGAAATTCTGAATTTTTTATACCTTTCTTATTTTCCATATTAGAAGCCTAATTTCAAACAGAACCATTTTTAGTTCAGTGTACTTCCTTTTGAAAAATAGCTACTACTTAGAGAATGATACTTAAATCCGGCTATACTCTATAACCTTATAGAGCATTACTGCTGATCTCTTAATGAAAAGCCCTGGTTATAGTGGTTCTCTTTGGGGCCAAAATATTGAATGATCTTCTGGTCTGGTCAAAACCACTTCTGTCAGTACCAGCTGGGTTCCTTTCTCTATTCTGGAAAATGACGCTCCATCCTGTGTGCAAGTTTGACATGGTTAGTGTTTGCTCTTAACTTACCAAAAGCTAGCTGAAATTATATTGCGCCTGCATAACCAAGCAACATAAGATTAGGAGCCACATAACAGTCATTTTGTATGCAAAAAGTTACAATTGCTATCATTTTATATCTTTCCCCTGCAAGCCTAATCTTGAAGCACCTCCTTTTTCACCATTGCTCCTTTTCTAGCACTGTTCTTTCTGGCTTCCACTTCTATTCTAATCTGTCTCGTAATGCTTGGGATCTCACTACTGCCACCACAGCTTTCATGTATTTCAGACACTTAGATTAATTGAAATTATTTTCTTCATAGATTTTATTCATCTAATTTTACATTACAGTTATTTTTGTTACTAACAGAGGTGATCAATTGGGAATTAATTTCATCCTTTACCTATATCATGGCATCAAAAGTTGTTTTAGAAATTTCCACCATATTTTGTAGATTTCTGCACTCCTCAGTGTGCTAAGGTTGTAAGGGAAATGTCAAATGTTTAATGTTTCTGTTTATCATGCGATGGAGAAATGGAATAACAAATTGACCACACATTGTTTTTTCTTTAGACTTCCAGGCTTATCTATATTGCAAGATTTCTATCTTTTTGATAAAGTTGCTCCTTAGTAAATTACTGTGCTGATCCTTTATTTCTTGGCAGCTCCTTTGAATTCATTCTAATCTGCCATGCTTTCAAGACTGCCTCCCTCACAAGGCACAACAGTGAATTGAAAACAAAATCTATGTTGATCATGGAGATTTTATCAGACTTGTAAAACTGAAACTTTAACTGTAGGTTAAAAGAACATGGAACTGTAATTATTATCATCAAACATTATGACAGAAATAATATATGTATGGTAGAATAATGTTCTGTTTGCTCTACTGTAGTTCATATTACTTGAAAACTGCACCAAGTACCCTTGTTTACAGCTTTGGAAGTTGGAAATGGCTTGTTTTGATAGTTGAACTATAACCATCTTGGTGGATAATTTAGTGTGGTTATTGCTGAATTAGCTACAGCAAATATGCATGCTTCCATTTTAATGTGAGAGCTTCTGGTTAAATTATTAGCTTGCTCTTGCTGTATTCTATGAAAGTTACGTTTTATCTTGAGGATTTTGGCCTTGGACACAATGGCCTTAGTGAAGCTGTCCTGTGAAAACTTTTTTCATTTCTAGAATAGAGTTGTTTCCCTTACTCCAAAGTGTGTGAAAAGAAGCCCACTCATCTCTTTCCCTATTGCTGTTTAAACCTCTCCCCGAAGCCCTTTCAGACTTCTTATGAATGCAATTTCCAATGCAAATTAAGTTTATCTGCATAGGATATTTGCATAGGAAAAATGTCAGTTTCCTCTTTTCCCCCCTAAATGACCAAGGGGAATGCCCAGGAAAAACTAGTTTGGCATGGGCATGCTTGCTTTATTGTTTTTAATAATGCACAAGGCTAAACAAGAACCCTGTATTTTTTCCAAGTATACAGAAAAATTTGAAGTATATAAAGTGCATGAAGAGAAAAAAGCAGAAGCACTCAAATAGGATTTAAATGTTATATTTATTAGAATATTTGTAAAAAATTGAAGACTGAACATGTATTTGCCTTATGTTTTATTTACTTTAAACTGTGGGCACACAAATTAATTTATTATCC